GAAACCTCTCAAGAAACACAGATAAAATTTCTCAATTCAATGGATGCTCTGCATGCTGCAAAGACCTGGGATCAGTCAAGATGAACAGACCTGAGTCTGCCTTTCTGGTTGTCTGTTACACAAGTGAGAGAAGGATTAGAAAAGCATATTTATAAGCCCTAATTTGGTTTTAAGATAAAATAATTAAATTAAAAAGTATAGGTTGGGTGCTGTGGCTCACACTTGTAATCCTAGCACTTTGGGAGGCCGAGGTGGGTGGATCACAAGGTCAGGAGTTCAAGACCAGCCTGGCCAACATAGTGAAACCCTGTCTCTACTAAATATTCAAAAAATTAGCCAGGCGTGGTGGCGGGTGCCTGTAATCCCAGCTACTCAGGAGGCTGAGGCAGGAGAATCACTTGAACCCTGGAGGCAGAGGTTGCAGTGAGGGGAGATCGTGCCACTGTACTCCAGCCTGGGCGACAGTGCAGGACTCTGTCTTTAAAAAAAAAAAAAAAAAAAGACCAGGCGCGGTGGCTCATGCCTGTAATCCCAGCACTTCGGGAGGCTGAGGCAGACGGATCATGAGGTCAGGAGATGGAGACCATCCTGGCTAACACGGTGAAATCCCGTCTCTACTAAAAATCCAAAAAAATTTAGCCAGGCATGGTGGCGGGTGCCTGTAGTCCCAGCTACTCGGGAGGCTGAGGCAGGAGAATGGCATGAACCTGGGAGGCGGAGCTTGCAATGAGCCGAGATCACGCCACTGTACTCCAGTCTGGGAGACAGAGCGAGACTCCATCTCAAAAAAAAAAAAAAAAAGATTATAATGTATGTTATCATTATTTGTACTGTTTCAAATCTTTTGTATTTTAAAGGTTAATCTTGAATATAACTTTAATATCTTGCTTTTTTTTTTTTTTTTTTTGAGACAAGGGTCTCACTGTGTCACCCAGGCTGGAGTGCAGTGGCACGACCATGGCTCACTGCAGTCTCGACATCCTGGGCTCAAGTGATCCTCCCACCTTAGCTTCCCAAGTAGCTGGGACAAAAGTTCTGGGATTACAGGTGTGCACCACTGTGCCCAACAATATCCTGCTTCTTAAATCAATTAGTTACCTATTAAAATCTGCCCAGGAACTTTTTGGTTAAGTCAAGAAGGTATACTTTGTATTTTCACTTGCAACCCTGTATTTTCATTTGCTTTGAAAACATTTCTTTCCCAGGGATAAAGGTTTCACTGAAATTCAAACATCTCTCCTAGACGAAGAGAGAGTATAAGGTCATAGATCAGAGCTTCAAACCTAGAAAGTGAAAAATACCAGCAAGATAGGAAGGAGACTGATTAAGTTTAAGGTCATGTCCTCCTAACAGAGGAGATAAGAGAAGTCCAGATAGCACCAGTGCTGACTAGAAATTGGATGTGAGATCTGGTTAGAACAGTATTTTTCAACCTTGGCTGGCACATTAGAATTACTGGAGTAGTTTTAAAGAAGGATTAGAAAAGCATATTTATAAGCCCTAATTTGGTTTTAAGATAAAATAATTAAATTAAAAAGTATATCAGACTTCTAGGGCTGCAGACATCTTCTTTGTCTTCAGTAGATATGATTTTAGAATGTCTTGTGAAAATGAAGCCTGAATCTTTCTCTCGGGA